GTGTAATGGGATAATCTTTCACTATTTTGGCAACTTAATTATAAATTTCAAAAAGTCTCTTGGCCAAATTATTCTTTAAAATTGGCAAAATTATTCTACTGTGGAAAATACCCAATCTATACTGATGTGATTTTAATATATTAAAGTACATGTAAGTACAATCCAGTATACTCACTGTATCTTTGAGGTTCACATCAGCTCCTGCAGACAATAAAATTTGTAAAACATCATGATATCCTCCTCTTGCAGCAACATGAAGAGAAGTATTTCCACACTATAAGAAACAAAATTAAGACAATTAATGTTTGTACATGTCAGTCTATTACAAAAACTTACAGTAATGTACTACACATAGTACAGCTGAAAATATTGGAAGAATATTAAATTGCAACTGATAAATTTTCTCCCATAACAATCAGATAATATTAATTCTTTACTAACATCGAAAGTAACCATTACTAATGACTTGCTAATATTTCTACAGTGATCAGTGTTATTATGTACTACATGTACATGTACATGTACATTGACTACATTGTACCAAGTGAATTGTGAAATGACACCACAGAATATACTTACATGCATGTACACCGTACATGTACATGTACAGTACCGCTCAGCTATAAGTTTACTTATTCTGTACATGACACGGGTGCAGCTTGGCTATGTATCCAAGCTGCACTAGTGAAGGTGCACCTGTATCGTGTATTTATCATTTACATCATGTACTTATCTCGTGTTGTGGTGCACTCGTGTAGTTATTGCACCAGTGTGGAACGCAGGTAATGCTGGAGATTATTCGTGTAAACGAAAACTTATAGCTGAGCGGTACTGTATGTATACCTGACCCATGTCCAAGGGCAGCAGGCTATCAACATAACAGCATGCTGTACATGTACATGTATGCATATACTGCAGTAGTTACCTCTTCAGGATTCTGATGGTTTACATTAGCTCCTTGAGACAGTGCAGACTGGACACCAGTAGAATCACCTCTTGCAGCAGCTTCATATAACTCCTTATTCTACAATGAATCATTAGCTAACATACATGTAAAACAAACAGTATGCACCATTTCTTCAGCTCCTTGTAATAATATATCTTCTATTCGAAATGATCTATTATTCTATAATAAATAAAATAATGATAAAATACAGGCTACTTATACAGCAGATGAACAAGTAATCACCTCTTTTAGCAGCTTCAAATAACTCCTTATTCTACAATGAATCATTAGCTAGTATGCATGTAAAACAAACAGTATGTACCATTTATTCAGCTCCTTGTGATAATATATCTTCTTTTTGAAATGATCTATTATTCTATAATAAATAAAATAATGATAAAATACAGGCTATTTATAAAGCAGATAAACAAGTAATGAATTATAATAGGTTACACAATTAGCAAAAGTGCAAAACTTAAATGAGAGTGTCATTTATAAGTAAAAACTGCTACCATTTTACAGCAGCAAGAAGTTATACTTTATTTACGGTATCACGATGAATATACCGTATAGCAGGAAATTCTTGAAGCAGTTGAATTTGGTATTTTAATAGCCATTTGCCAAATTAAAATTCGCCATTTGAACCATCATGAGCATGCTCAATGGCACGTGGCCACAAATGCGCAAATCACCAAAATTTAAAATTTAACTCCCTCCAAAATTTCCAGCTATAATTATGGTACTTAAAATTCTATGAATATACTTAACGCAATCTGGTCTACATTGTATGAAAGCTTCGCTTACCAAAGCAGTAGTACTTGAAGTGGTAATGTTTCCTTCAGATGATGAGGTCTGTGTGATTG